GTGGCTTTTTTGGTGGGCCTGTCAGTTCCTTTCTGGGGTCACAGGGATGGCCAGAGTCTACTCCTGGCTGCCTCTTTGAAGGTCCAGATTCCTTCTGCTGGTGTGTCCGTCCGTGTCCTGTCGTGTCGTGTCGTGTGTGTGGTCCCGTGTCCCCCCCCCGGCCCCCCCCCCCCCCCCCCCCGCTTTTCTTTCTTTTTCTTGCAAAAATGTGATGCACTGCCTCGATAAGATTACACTTCAAGGACCTTAAAAGCTAGGCTGAGCTGTCGAAATTTAAGGGAATGAAGCCACAAACGGCCTAAAAAACGTAAAGCCAGAGTGAAATGCAATCCTAGTGTCTCGCATTTTGGAGGCGAGTTTCTCAACTCTTCATTTGAAAGCAGCTGCGTCCCCATTTCACAGGAGGAAGCCGAAGCCCAGGGGTGAAGTAACTTGCCAGGGGCAGCCTCACCAGGCCTTTGGAGATGGCTGGCAGTTGAGCTCAGCTTTGTAATCCTGAAGTCAAACCAGTTTAGCTAGATGTGGTATCCTTTGATGGATATGTAAACTACCTCACTTTGTCACTCTTCTAATAACAGTATACCTCAAACTGAGCAAATACAAACACCCTTTATCTTGGTGCATATCAGTAACTAGTCCTGTGCTAGGCCAGGCTGTGGGAGAGGCCTATTTGTGTATTTGTGTTCCAAGGAGAGGCTGCCTATAATTTGGCTTGGCCATGATTTGCACGTATAAATGGCTCAGGCCGGTTGTTCTTTTTAACAATTGGTGTTCTTGAAATCTCAGAAGGCTGTTGACTCATTCTAGCCTTTGGTGACCGTGACGTGAATGGATTTTCTGCTCTAAATTAACAGTCATTTACGAGGTTTAAATTTTGCTCTTTAAAGGGGACAGGACCCCAGGCAGGTGAGAAGGGCAGGTGACCCCTGGGGAGGGGGGCCAGAGGGAGTGTGCAGATTCCTGCCCGCTTCAGTGGCTTCCTATAGAGCCTTTTGAATCTGTAGTTTTCTTTCCTTTCCCCTCCTGGAGGGAAGTCCTGCTGTTGGGTGAAGGGCAGCCAGAAAGGGGCCAGCATTTACTGAGCAGTACGGGAAGCCAGCTTGTGGTTTCCCGAGGAATTGGGTCCCTAGGCCGGCACACATGAAGACTACTTACTGCATTTTGACATCTCTACCTGTAGAAACCATAGACACTGCTTTATATGTAAAGAAAGTTCTCCTGGGAAGGAAAGACTAGAAATCAGTTCTGTCCTCACTCTAGGCAGAACTGGCCCAGACCTGACTGGTTCAGGAAGAATGTATGAGATGAAACTGGGGTCCCAGGTGCTTTAAGTCCTTTGGGATATTATGTGAGGCGCCACTTCCTCCCTTTCTCCAGCCCTCCCACTCCTCTGTACTTAGTATCTTGGGTGTGTTTAAAGAGGGTAATTGCACCCAGGTTCAAAATTTATAGCAGCAGTTATTCTAAGAGCTTCGTAATTAAGGTGTAATATGCCCTTGCATGTTGAGCTCTGCATGGGTGGTGTTCCCTGTGTCTGAGTGGATGGTTCTTCGGTATAAAAAAGTCACCTTGGCAAAGCTATTCTGAGCTCTGGGGATGGCCTTAAAACCCTGAAGAGTTAAACATCTTGATGCATTTGGTGGTGGGGATTGTATAAAGAGCAGCTGTATGCATCTGGGATTTCTGGCTATCCCCCAAACGGGGTTCTGAGGGAGAGAATGCCTGAGGTCTGGTCACTTTTAATCCTCTCAGATGCTAGTGGTGGATCCTGGGGACTCGACCCTCTTTTTATAGGTGGGAAACTGAGGCTTCAAGGAAGCCTGGAGGGCAAGAGCAGGGGCTTACATCAGAGCCTCTGGGCTCTGCAGCTAGGCCCTTTGCCCCAGGCCCTGGGGCCTTTGCCCTCCAACCCCTTCCCAGCATGAATGCATGCTGTGCAGTCTGGGTTGGGTGAACTCACCCTGTGGCTGTGTAGGAACAAAGAGGTGGAGAAACCAGGCTGAGAAATGCAATACAACCCTGACCTAATGGCTCTGGCCACTCCCTAGGCTTGCAAGGTTCTGTAGAAGAAAACCCTGCCACTAATTGTAGTGTGGGCCTTAGGTGCGTTTGGCGGATGGTGGTTAGGCCTGAGCAAACAAGTTTATCAGCTGACCTGTTTAGCGGTTGACTGGTGTTTTATCTGCACACACAATCAAGTGACTGGAGTGCTTGAATTATTCATGCAGTGTCCTGCCCTCTAGACTTGACTGTTCGTGTGATTACATCTGCCTGGAACAAACAGGCTGGATTCTTCATCTTTAAGCGCACAGGGTGGGGGTGGGGACTCTGTACTTTTATATAATAGATGATCTACAGAACTGTCTCCTTAGGAAGTGTGGCTGTCCTCAGCCTACACACACACACACACACACACACACACACACACACACACGCACAACCACCACCACCACCGCCATATATTTTTTTTAAAAGCTCCTCTTTATTGGCTCTATGGGAAATGCCAATTAGCCAAGAACCTCTCGTTCTGCCAGATGGTCCCAAGTATTGACAGAGGGCAGCTGATGAGGTGCGTCCAGCCTGTTTTGATTTTACTGAGAGGTTAAACTCATTGTGATTGGCTCTGTGTCTCTGTCTCTCTTGCTCTTTCTCTTCCAAGCTGTCAAATCCCAGAGAAAAAATAAAAGGTTCCTCCTCCTACTCTTCTGCCTCCCTCCCTAATTATGGTAAAGCAAAGATTACAGAATCACAGGCCTGGCCTAGGACTTGAAGAGGTCACCACCTCCTCCAGGCTCTTGCTTCCAGGCAGAATGTCAAGGATGATTCAGCGAGGGCCAGGGAGATGATGATGGCTGACCGGCTCATCAGTTCCCGTCTTGTTCCTGCAAAGTCTTTCCAGTGTCAGCTGCAAACGACAAAGCCAGCTTAGAAACAGTGACTCCACAGCAACTGTCATGTGGTGGCTTTGAGAAGTGGTGCTGAGAGAAGCCGGCAGGCTGACCTTTCACCCTCTGTTGGTGAGCACTGATGTTTGGCAAGCTGACTCGAGGCATTTTAATTCGGGAGCAGCATCATGTCAATAATAGACAGTCACTGTTTTCAGTAACCCAGACAAGTCCTGGAGTTCCAGGGATGAAAGAGCCCTTTGACTTCATGGAGGAAACTGAGGCCCAGAGATGTTAACTGGTATGCCCAGACTCCTGAAGGCACAGGTTCCCTCCGAATTCCAGAGCTTTTTGTGGCAAGCCTCTTTTGCTTACTCCTAGCAAACTGCATCTTTAATTACCCCTGCTTGCCCCCATGCTATTATCCAGCCAGTCTCAGGCTACTAACCTGACTCCACCAAAGTCCAAAGTACCCCATTTCAGGTTGTATAACCATATCAGCTGAACCTTCTGTGTCCACAGTCCTGTCCCCATTTGCCAGCTATTTGCACAACTAATGATTTGGCATGTTCAGTAATAACACAGAACGCATAACTGGCAATCCCAGAGGGCAGGTTCACAGATGAGGTTGGGTGGTAAAACCTGTGAACTTTTTATCTGAGCCACAAGGCGGCCATAAACACAGCACTGAAGGGGGGACCTGGGAAATCTCTTTCTTGGAAGGATGGGCTTGGGTATAAGAAGTATATCTAAGAAGTATGGACTTGGGTATAAGACTTCTAGGCAAAGCAGCTCAAAGGGCCTCTGACCACTGCTAGGTAAGTCATTAGGCGTCAGGGTTTGATGGGAAGACTGGACAGTGGGGCAGAACCTGTTTGTGTGACATCTGAGTTGAGCTGTGAAATTCGCAGCTTTGTCAGAGTTCATCTTGCTTTGGATTCTACCTGATGTCACCTAGAGTCACCGGATTTGGTCCCTGAAATCACAGGGATTGTGTCATCTCCCTGCCTGGGCACCATCCTTACTCTGCTCTGGGGACGACTGATCCTGGAATCACGTTTTACCTTGTCCCATCTAGCACAGAGGGAGGTGATTGACTTTGAGGGGGTGCCTCAAGGCTGTCTCCCACTGCAGTTTCTGTGGGTGCTTTTTCTCTAAGTAGGGCTGTACAGAGTGGGGTTTTTTGGGCGGAGGGCGGGTTCTTTGTCTTTCTTGACTATTTGATCATTGAGACCACTCTAGAGCTGGGTAGATGGCCCTGTCCTTATCTTACAGGTTAAGATAGCTAAACCACCTAGGAACCTTCTAATTCTAGTCTGTAAACTCCTGGAGATGGAGTGTGGTAGGCCCTGAGCTGCTCCTCCTGTCCTCATTCCTCCCTCCACCCCAGACACAGGGTCTGGTTTTCCAAGTCAGAGTTGGTATTGTTGAAGGAGAGAGTCAGTCAAGGAATAAATTCCCTTTTCCCTTCCACATAGGAATTTTTTTTTCTGTCTCATTGTTTGTACAAAATACTGGGACACCAGGGGCCAGGAGTCGATAAATCTACTCACAGCAGGGCTTTGCCTTGTGACCCAGCACAGGGTGAACCTCCTTATCTCAGTGTTGAAACTATG